TTTTTTTTTTTACCAATTTAAATGTAAGAATTTTGAAAAAATCAGTAAAAATTTATAATTTTTATATAAGTAAATAAAAAAATCCTTTTAGATTCCGCAATGCTAAAAATCTATAAGAAAAATCTTGTCTTGTTTAAAATATTTTTTTTATGTAAACTAAAATGTTATCAATCATTCTATTAAATTACATATATATATATATATATATATACTTATTTAGTTTGGATATATGATACTTTATAAATAGTAGAGCAGTTCCGGTAAATTTTATAATCGCAACGTGCCAGGAAGTTAACTTTGTACCGGAAGTTTATTCGGACTAAAAGAAGCTCTTCCGGATTGAAAGGACGATTATACCGAATACATCGGTCCTTCGGGTATTAGTGTAATAATACATGACGCGCGACGATGACTTCCGGCATGGCAAAGCGTCCTGTTTGCATTAACGGTGATAATAAATTCGGAGCGGGATTTCATGCAAGACCTTGCATGTGAATTCCAACGAATTTTCATCCATTATACCTGTCAGCCGCGGTCACGCTTATCTACTTAAATGGACATCCATTAAATGTGATTTCTTTCAACTTCTTGGATATAAATCGCAATTAAATCTGCATTCTTATATTTTTGTTGAACTCACGATAAACTTTGTTATTTATATAAGAGAGAGTAGTTGTCAGTTAATATCTTCTTAATACCAAATAAGAGCAGAATAATTCCGTAATAAATTCTCGAAAGTCAAGTTGTAAATCAGATGCTTTTTTAATTTTTAAATTTATAACATAGTTTAAAAAGTAAAGGCAAATTATAAAATAAATCTAACAAGGAAAAATTATAATCTTTGATAATTATTTTTTGAATAAAACATTACAGTAAAAAGTGATTTAAATTATATGACTTCATTATTTTGATTAAATTAATGATATATTGAATAGGAGTAGTGGCTTATAGAAATAATTAAAAATAATTCAAATTGAATATTGTACAATTTGACATTATGAATTATATTAAGTATAATTCTACTTTGCTGTTTCATCAAATCGTTATTTTATAACGATTTGATGAAACGGAAGCGTGGGAGACATATGTAGGTGGCAGATCGAGATTTATGTAGCATAATCACAGTTTTGTTTTAATCACTTGCTTATTTATTCGTGCGTGATAAGCGTCCAGCGGACGATCTGTGAAACTCATTGATTCAGAAAACACTGCGACAATCGCAGGCTTTAACAATCAACTGATCTGGTGATTAGCAAGCACATCTCCCATTGATCTATGAGTAGAAAACGTGCAATTGGCTCATGTCAATACGAGGTTTTAGAAATGCGTATAAAACGGCATTAAAATAAAATAGGACAAGTTCATAATTAAATAAAAGAAAATATTTTTTTAAATATCTATATAAACCACTTTTATTTATGTATAAATTATTAAAAATTATTAATATGAAAAATTATGATCTGCTACTTGCATTTGTCATATACTAACTAAATCTATGTTTAAACACTTTAATTTTAAATCTGAATTTGTTATATTATTATTGACATAATTCTCACTCGTGTTTTCTTTTTTATATAAAATTTTTTGATTAAAACACATAATTAGAAAAGAATAATTATGTGAATAATTGTGATGTGTGTAATGTGTTTCTCACTATGTATATTGTAAAATTTTTTTTTTTATACTTATTATTACAATTATTCATGTTCTATTTTATATTATATATTATATATGTTTCACATTATACTTATTATTATAATTTTTAAGAGAAAGTTTGAAGTTTTAAATGTTGAAAAAAAAAAAAAATAAAAATCTTACAGCATACGGTTTATGTGAGATAGAATTTATATTCTATAATTTAGTTTTGATTTTACATAGAAAGAGTTATGGTACACTGGTACAATGACTTCCGGTTATTTTTTTTTAAATACGCGTTTTACCGTAAATAATTGTATAGATGTTTTCACGATGCGCTTTTACGATTCAATAACGGTATCAATAGCAATGTTCACTGAAACACGATATAATGTATAGCATAACACGATATAAAAGCCAAAATGTTTTGCCATCTAACTTTTACAGGATGAACATGTATAAAAAAATTAGAGAAGAAAACTGTTAAAATTTTAAAATCTTCTCGATACAAACAAGATTATTTCACTTCACGATGTGGACATCACGCAACAAAACTATAAAAATAAGTATATCTTATTTTATCTTATAAAAATAGATGCAATTCCTCAAATTACAAAAATAGCAATGTTGCAGAATACGTATACATTATGTTATTTTAAATTCATTTATTTTAAAATCATATTAGAGAATTTGAAAAATAATTATTTGTTGTGAATAGATGTCACATTTATCGAATCTATTTGCAGAATTGTAGAATCAAATTTTCGCAAAGTTGAAGATCTCCCTCGGACGTCAGCAGACTTGTTCCCAGATCTGACGAGAGCCAAGAAAGAATTTCGCGGCCGACATTGGTCTTGCAACAGCATGTCGGTGGCCTCGTCGCTTCCGGTATAGCGGTAGCGGCGGCGACTGTCTGCGATTTCTTTTAATGACAATGACTCGCAAATTCCCGCGAGCTTCATTCATCGGCGATGGCGTACGATAAATAAATAAGATCGTGACCGACAGTTATTGGGGAATGCGCGAACGTTCGCAGTAATTTACACAGCGGCCCGCATTTTGCGTGCGTAAGTGCGTGATGCGTCCGTCGCGTGAGCCGCTCACTCGTAACTCAACCGAGATCGTTAATATCCCGTAGGATGAATCTAGCTCGTTAGTCCTCTCACAAGGCAACCAAGGACAATCCACGTGAACCGTAATCTCTTTCGTGCGAGGCAAGATTCGTCCTTCTTTTCATTTTATTTTTGCAAGTATCATCCTTCGCTTGATCGTCTTTTTAGTTTGTAGCATAATTTGAATTACAGGGTGAAGGAAGGATGAAGAATGCCCCGCGCTGGCGGAGGAGATGGGGGTAGTGGGCCCCAGAGAACGGGAGGGGGTGGCTTTGGAGGATGGCTGGGTGGCGCTGCAAGGGCTATGACGGGTGGAGGAGTCGGTGGTGGATATGTTGTTCTGGGTGGCACCAGATACGGTCTGCGGATCTCTCAGGTATTGCACTTTATCTATTATTTTACGATTCTAAAACGTCTTCCTAGAAATATCAGATTACAAGTAATGTAAAGAAATTAGAAATTCAAAAATCTTTTTGATATTCAAGAAATACATTACCATTGGACATTTATATTCTATATGAAAAAAGTCATATTTTTCTATTTTATTTTAATTATTTGCAGTCATGATCATTTTCTGATTTAAGATAAAATTAAATATAATTCAGAATAATTTTAATAAAAGTATATAAAATGTTTTTGTCTTATTTAAAAATTAAAATTAAAAAAAAAGCATTAAAAATTAGACTCCTAGAGAGCAGAATATTTTTATATTATTCTGCAAAGAAAATTTGCAACATTTTCTTTTTAAATCGGCTATTCCCTTTGAACCTCGTTTGGTAACGACCTTTGATCGCCTTGCTACAAGAGCGATGTGCGACAACAAAATTAAGACGTCGAAGGACCTAAATTTAGAAAGCAATCATACAAATAGAATTCGCCAGTCACTGACTTAAGCCGATTTTGAAGTGACTCTTCAACTTTCGTCTCTGCCATTCTTTCTGACTTTTCGTCTTCCTTTTCACGGTTTGTCCGCGGAATAATAAGCACCATTGACGTCATAACAGCACGTATAGTTGACGTGAATCTCATGTGACACATTCGCCCGCCGTTATCTGCCAAATTCTATCCGAGACTTGTATAAATTGCCGTTATTTATCCATGTGGATGGATGATATTATCAATTCCGGTGACTTTTGAAAATATTATCTTGGACTTGGTGATATAAAAAAGACTTGCTAGAATTATTTAGAAGTGACGCGGTAAGATTTAAGAAATGCGAAATGTGTCCTCAGAAAAAGTACGCTTGCTTGTACGTCATTTTCTTGTAAGTTTAAAAATACGAGATACATTTGAGACAGCGCGGAGGACAGAATGTCCCTAAGTTAAGGGACATGAGAGAAATGGAAGGAAACGAAAGCGACGCATTGGTGCAGACGGAGAAATAAAGTAGATATGAAGAGTGTCTGTGAAATACAAAGACATAACGAATAAGTAACAAAGATATATAAGGTGTCTTAAAGAGAAAAGTCAGTAGCATAATTTTATCTTCAAAAGAATTTAGCAACAATTTTTCTTCGGTATTTAATTTGAATCTTTTACCTCAACACTTTTAGTTTCCAAATTGAAACGTCTAAATAAGATTTTTTTTAATAAATGAAGCATACGATGCTTAGCATTTTATGAAACACTTTGAAAAAATGAAATGGCGAATGTTGAAGCATACACATCTTCTGAAATATTTCATTTATCTGACATTTTTTTTAAATGACTATTAAAAGTTTCTTTTATTATAAGAATATTCTATAGTTACAAAAGAAAATATAAATAATTTTTTTTTCTAAAAAGAAAAATCAGATAAAAATTTAAGATTAAAAAATAATTAAAATAAATCAAGCAAATTTTTGTTAAATTATAAAATTATATTGTTAAATATAAACATCAACTTTATTAAACCGTTTTATACGTATAACATTCATTTTTATACGAAAATAAGTTTCCAATTTCAAATACTTTTTACAGAGACCTAACACATTCTTAATTTTTTCGTCCCTCAATATATATATTTATATATAATTTTTTCAATCAAAGATAATACACAGGTCTGCTGTTTCAATATCGAATCGATAATTCAGTGAAAGAAATAATGAAATTAGTTAGTGGAAGTGGAGGAGGAGGGAAATAGTAGTACAAACATGTACTGTTAGAAATAAACACGATATATATCGTACGGCTTGGAACGAAAGGGTTAAGCGACGATGAGAATTGCTTTACAAAGAATTGAAAAGTATTTGTATCTGTTTCAGGAAAACCTACCACCGGTCAATTCCAGAGAAGAATCGCAGGAGCGCCGGCGAAAGCGGAATTCGCGCGAGAGCGACTCGCGAGAGCGGCTGACCGAGAGACCGGTGACGGAAAAACCGCCAATCGATCTAGCAGCCAGCATCGCCGATTGTTGTTGTATCGGTCCGCGATCGCGTCTTCCGCTGCCTCGGATATCACCAGCGATCATGTCCTCGATGGCGACAGCAGCATCGTCGTCATCGTCGGCGTCGTCGACATCGTGCCCTTCGATCGTCACCGGTGATTATCCGTCCAGGGAAATCGCTAGCGACTACTCGTCGTCTCTTCCTGCTTCTACCACGAGCGTCGCGGAGACGACGCCGACGCTCGCTAATAATAGTCGCGGCGCGATGCAAACATCGGTGGGGAACATCGGCAGCACCAGCCAGCAGCAGCAGCAGCAGCAACAGCAGTCACACTACCACTATTACCAGCAGCATTATCCACAAGCAGCCGTGGCGGCGGTAACATCGTCGTATTCGCCACCGACGACGACGCCGTGCTCACCCTCGACGTCGCTCGGCTACTCGTCCGGCGTCCCGACGACGACGCAGACCGTCTCCGTACCGCGGCAGCTCGCGCAGTGGACGAAGCATCAAACGCTCAAGCTGCAGGTACTTGCTTCAATCGATCGCGTGTCAAAATCGATCGTTTGTTAGTTCAGTTAGTCACTTGGTTCTTCGTTGTTTCGTTGCCCGCGAGTGGATTATCATTTTGAGATGGGTATTCAATCGCGTTTTTTCATAATTTCCGCGAGATTCGAGTTTCGCGCGTAGACTCAGTAAGGTGGAAAAGGTGGTTACAAGAAATACAAAGTGGAGTGGCTTAGGTCTGGAAGACTTTGTGTCAGCAGCCCCGAGGTAGGTCTCAAGGTCACCGCTAGGAACTTAATCTCTTCAAGGACACGATAAATTTTATCGACAGCAGGCTTGAGAAATTATTTTAATCTTTGAGGCACATTTTATCAGAAATAGTTATTGTTTTTAAGAAAATTTTAATTTTCTTTTTTTTTATGATCAAAGAAATCAATAATTCTTACTTGAAAGAAAAATGATATTTTTATTAAGTACATCTTTTAATAAATGTTATGTTTTCTCTTCAAACAGAACAAACTCTTTAACAAAATCTTTTGTGTCAAAAAGAATTTTCGAATTTTTTGTTATAGTACGACAAAAAATATTTAATACCTGTTAATTATAACTTTATTTATACTTGAAGAAACTTTACAACCAAATTAAGTGCTTTTTCCCATGGACGAATTTTTTGTTTTGAATTTTACGAAACTGTCAACGCATCTTCTTCACCTCGAAACACTCGCGGTTTCATCGCTCGAAGAAAATTCATTCGCTTGCAGAGAGGCGTGCCAAAATTCACGCTTGATCTTTCTGCACATACGAACAACTTTTCTTCATTTGCTTTTTAAAATCGTGCACTCGCGTGATCGCTTGATTTTTGGCTCACCTCATGCCTTAGCGTCGCGCCACGCCGAAAGGGAAAAGATAAAGACGAACGACGAAAATAGAATATCGCTTCTTCTTTGACTAGACACTTATGTACGCGTACGTATGAGCTTTCGATGTGCTATTAGGCTTATTATTTTACACATTTGCCCACATGATATACTCCGCGTTATTACCATACATCCGTTCTTACACAAGAATAATGTACATTTTTCCTGTGTTGATGAAAAATGCTTGCGAAGAAAAATGCAACTATTCGTTTACTTGATTTCTTATGTTTTGCATGTATAACATATATGTAGTTTTCTGAAAATTAAGAAAAAAGTCTTATCTATTATAATTAAAAACCATATTATCTTTAATACTAGTTTACTTTTAAATACAATAGATATTTCAGATGACTAGTCAGTTATGATTAGAGTCATCTAAGAACGACTTTCTATTACGGACTAGAATAATTCTCAATGTATGTCATATATATAACTGTCAATATATGATTTATCAATATTTTGATACTAATTGGCGAAAGATTAATAATTTGATTTTATCAAGCCTTGCCTTGATATTAATTTAAATATTGAAAATAAATAATCGGATAAATAATAGAAAATAAATATAGGATTATTTGTTCTACTGTCTTTGGCTTCACTCGTATCTCGATTTCGCATTGAAACTATTACAAGCCGTGAGATTTATTTATTCTCCCCTCTGACTGTAGGAACCAGCAGTGATAGCGGTGGACCGATTGCACAGGTTTCGATGGAGCGGGGGCGGAGGAGGAAGTGGCAAGAAATCCTCTTCCGGCCCCCGCAGCGAGAAGGCTGAGCGCCTTCGCGAGCTCACCGAGAAGCTCAAGGGACCAGCACCGGTTCCGCCACCCAGAAGACCGTCACGAGTACAGGCATCCTCCCCTCCTTCTAGCGGATACCAGCCGTCGTCTCAAAATTATCCACAGGTGAGGAATTCCAACGTCATGGTGACGAGAGCTTGACGTCTATTGCTACGCATGAACGAACGATATTTTACACAACTGAACTTTTTTTATACTTTTGAACGTTCACTATTGCCAAGAAAAAGAATAACTATTTATTTTTAATATTTGAACATTATTGCAAAATTAGACGTATGAAAAAATTAATGATCTGTGATACTGTACAATTTTTTAAAAAATCATCTCAATAAGTAAAAAAAATTAAAAGAAATATAATGTGATTTTTCAATATTACAAACATATAAAGGAGATACTTTTTTATTATATTTCTAATTATAGAAAATATCTTTGAGTTGTTTGTTCAAAATAATAATATTATATTGTAATGGAATATTTATTTGTTATTAAATTTTTGTAGATATGCATACAAATTAAAAGAATTTTTATCTTTCTTCAGTTTGTAACATTTAAAAGCATTAAAAGAAAAATATGAATTAATATCGAATATTTGAAATATTTAATTTTTATTTTGAAAGAAATAGAAAAGAGTTGCAAATATATCGGGACAGACTTTATAGAATATAGCCGAAGCATTGACTTCTCATTAATGAATCTCAATGCCTATTTTATCTCTCATTCTGAGAAGAGTTTCGCTGAACTTCGCGATTCACGAGACTTCTTTGTCACTATTTCGCTGAATTCAGTGCATGCCAAGGCGTATATAAATGATCGTTATCTCGTAAACTGCAGAGTTTCACGATTGTCATTCTGGTCCTTATAATTTTCATACATTAAATTTCTATTATTTACTATTTTCAATAAAATTGCTATAATGTCAATAATAACATTATTACTTGCAACAAGAATTATTATACATGATATCAATCTACATTGAGTTACGCAAATTTCAATATTTAATCTACGATGATACTTTAATCGTGCATAAATATTCTCTGATTTATCGTTTACATTAAATATTTAATTGAAATTTGCCACAAATATAATGGGTGTATATGCAATTCGAACGAGGAATTTTTGGCAGATTTAATCTCTTTAGACCTTGTGTACATTATAATGTACCTAATATGCATCAAATTTGAAGACATCCATTAAAATTATTTAATTCTATCGATATCATCTGAGATTAAATGTATATATAATAATGTACGTGTTGGGAAGATAGTCAAAATTTTTTAAAAATTATTTTTTAGTATGAATTACTTATATTAATATAATGCTTTTCAATTGAATTAAAAAACTTTTTTTTTAACATAATTCCATTTAAAATTAGATCTGAAGAAGTTAATTTGACGCAATATAAAGCCAAATTAATTTTTTGTTTGTTTTTCTCAGACGAGCTCGAATCCAAGTTGTGGCCGTTTCGAAGGTCGCTCATCTCACCGCAGTTATACGTACAACGAGGATAACCATCATGGTAATAACAATCAGCAATCTCAGCAGCATCAGCAACAGCAGCAAGAAAATCCAAAGACGATGGTCCGCAGTGAGAGTGTCAGTGAAGAGTGTCTCAGTGATCGCTCGGGAAACAGTGTATACCGGAAGCCATGCCACGACTCGAGGAAGACCTCGAGATCAGGCAGACCAGAGAGAAACAGTGATGACGTCAGTGACCTCAGGAGCAAACCGAATGCCAGTGCGGAGGCGGCGAAACACTTGAGACAGTACAGTGATTCCGTGGTGGACAGTGCTACGAGTGTAGACGATTTGTGCGATAACCTGAACGCTGCTTCCGTTAGCGGCAACGAAGGGGAGGCCCGGGATGCCATCACTAGGCTGGAGCCGCGTGGGCTGCTTGCCTTTCACAGATCCGGCGCGCCCTATAGGAGTGCCTCCTTCGGCCAGGTGGACTTTAATCAAGGTAAGCTTCCGTGTACTGCGCAGACTTGCAGGCTGAGCTCATTAGAGGCGTCTTGCGAGCTAGGCTTAATTAAACCAATTACAGCAAGACTGATATGCAGATTACGTTTACTGTAAGATTTACTCTATCGTTATCATGCTAAGCAGAAGGAAAATCGAAGATGTCCTCACGCGCGATTAAGTAGAATTCTTTAGTTTGGTCAAATATTTAAAAAATAAATGTTATTTTTGAATATTTGACTATAATGCGGACAATGCTATTTTCATCCTCGGAGTCCTTCTCTTAATTCACGATTTACACGTGTCTTCGTAAGATACTTTTGGAAACGCGGAACTAAACGCCACAGTGACAGTCTTGTATTAGGTTTCAACCCTGAACTACATACCGCAGTAGTTTCGATTGCATAATGGAAGACTAGAAATAAGATAAGCACTGAGTGCGGCTGTCAACAAGGTTCGAAATTCTAATGACAGTAATATAGCATTTAGCATCCTTGACCTGTATATGTGTACTGTCTGCTTTGATTACCACAAGGTTTCAATCGCTTCGCATATTTATATCTTTAAAAAGAATTTTTTACACGCCCTCAATATAAGACTAAATTCGAGACTAAATCTTATTGATAAACGAGATAAATGAAAAAAGAAAAGATAGTTTTTACACAAATTTATCAGTATAATAATTTGATTGTATTTTTTTGTAAAGAAGATATTAAAAACGATTGTTACTAATAAATATTAAATTAATTTAAAATTAATTTAAATTAATTTAAATTT